TTGCTGGACTTTTGGGATTCTGACAGAAGTTGTCACTGGAAATGACAGTGTTTTCAGAGGAAGAAGTTACTGGGCACTACAGGACAGCTGAATGAGTTCTGGGAGAGTTGTGCTGCATCCCTGCAGGTCATGGTGAACAGTTTTACAGGGGTCATGTTGAAATTCAGAACAGGCTATATTCTCCAAAGGGAGAAGAGGATTCTGTGCTAATGGGCACATTTGCAACAAGTTGCCCAGGTACAGATAGTCTGGATCTGGTGGATATTCTCAGGAGTCATGGTGGCTGCCATCAGCTGGTTCATGACATCAGAAGCTCTTCCTCTCTAAAGACCTGAGTTCAAAATATTGTGACTTGCACTAATGTGATTATTAACTTGTTTTCCTACCTGACTGTAGCAGTGTTTTGTGCACTGGATGGCTGCACTGTAATTTCTGTAGTTGTGGTTCATGATGAGTGTGTTGTTTCCAGTGTGGTTTTTGTTAAATGCAGTAACAATGAAAATTATTGCTAAGGGAAACAGTTTCCATACATGAATATTAAACTCTAATGGAAACCATGTTGTTACTGTGAGATTAACAGAAATTGGCATCTTGGAGGACTATCCAGCATTAAGCCAAATTAATCTGTGCCACTAAGATTGCATGTCCAGCTTTGAATTAGCTTTGAATTAGGACATTCTTCTAAAATGAAGGAACAGCTCACCCTGTTCACTTTTCTGGATGATCCCTATAAACCAAACTTGGCCTGGAGGCTCAGTGGTGACAGCCTTAGCCTGTCTGTGAGGGCCCTTCCATGGATACAGTTCTTTTTCACCTGGATACCGCTGACTCTTGAGACCTCTGTTTATTCAGCTGTAGAACAGTGTTAGTACCTATCTTGGAGGCAGTTTAGTGGGTTTCTTCTTTAATGTTTCTTAAATTTTGGAACCTTTTCTATGTAGGCTTTATAGAAAGGGAGAAGTATTTTTCATTTTAGGTATCACAAGCACTGGAAGATTCCCTTGGTGACTGACTTGATGTGTATATACAGGCAGGGCATCTCTGTCAAACATATCATTGCCATTGAATGGAAAGGCAGAGCATGAATCACTTCAGGGTTTCCTGATTTTACTCGTGTAGGATGTTAAGAGAGGCTGCAGGAATGTAATTGATGGCAATGTTCAAGCTGCACAAATTGAAAATCATGGGAGGATGAGAAAAACATCAGCTCAACACCAAACTAGTAATGACAGGGAATGGGAGGTTTGCTCTGAGCATGTGGATATGCAGGGAGTCTCTGTCTGTGCCAAGCAGACTTCAGGACTGGGAGTTTGGCTCCCTTCCCAACAGCAAATACATTGAGCAGGAGGAGAGCCAGCCAAGTTTTAATCAAGTAAAAGTTCTGTATCCAGAGGTGGTTGGCAAAAAAAGAGATTAAAGTATTAGGAGTGCAATGAAAACAAGACATTAGAGAGTTGAAAGCTGGAGTACCTGGACAAACCACTTGCTGAGTGAATACTCCAGAGCCGTCAGGAGGAAGCCCCAGGTGTCTGGAGTAGGACAAAACGGGAACCTACGCACCAGGACTTGTCTTCTCCCAGCTTTGGCCATCCCTGTGGCAAGTGTGTAATATCCTCATGCCTAACTGGGATAGATGGGATCATTCCCCTTGGAGATACTGCTGGTGGAGGGCTCATAGCTGGCAAGAAGGCCAACAGCTGCAAACTGTTTATGTATGACAAGTTTTTGGATAAATGTGAGTTTACACAGTTGCCTGTGTCCCAGGGTTTGCTGTGGAAGTGCAGATAGCTCTGCATGTCCAAGCACAGAAGTTATAGGCTGTAATTATGTAATTTCTCAGGAGAGAAAGAAAAAAACCCTCATGCTTGGTAATAGTAAAAATAGTAATTGGCTTTCCTTTCCCTCTTCCACTGATGCTCCTGCTTGACCTTTTTTATATATTAAAAATAGATTTGTGGTAATTGCTGACAGCATATCTGAAAGATAAGGACATTTTTTCCCCAAAGAAAGCCACTATCTGTATATATGCAGTGGTGGATGAGAAGTGTGATGAGAAGTTTTTCTTAAAAAACAAACAAAAATCCCAGTTCAGCTTCCATCCCTATTTTTCATTTTCACATGTACACACCTGTCTCACAGACAGGGCCAGAAGGAAAATTACCAAATAAAAGCATTTCCTCTTATATTATTCCCAGCCTGGTAGAACCACGGCATGCCAGGATTTTCACAAGCATGTCTGAGTTCATGAAGTTTTTATTCCAGTTCTGCAGACTTGAAAGGCTCAGATAAAAATCTGGAAATTTAGGAGGCAAACAACAGTTTCCATTCATCCCAATGAAGACATAAATCATGTTAATGCAGCTACCAAGGCATTGTGCTACTATTGTTGTTGGTTAAAGGTGTATTTTTCTCTGCCTATCTGTTATGTGGATCATTGTACTGGATTAAAAAAAAAAGTTGCATTTATGTTAATGGTTCAGATAGATTTACTAGGAAACTGGAGTATGTTTGCAGATCAATAATTTATTTGCTGTTGATATTCTGATGAAAGGAATTAATGCTAAAATGTATTGGTCCAAAAGAAAATTATCGTCTTAGGAAATAGTTTGATAGAAAAAATAGATTTCAAAAACGTTTTTAAGACAAGCTTTTTCAGGCTTAAAATGTGATACCAATTTGTTATAACTGGCTTGCTGTTCCAGAATGACTATTAGTAATAAGCACTCAGCAGTTCATGAGCTGGACTTCTTCCTGAGTTCACTCCATGTACTCCACAAAGATTTCTGCTCTTCCAGGATTATGAGTTTCTCTGCCCAGTCCATTTCTGTAATAATAAACTAATTTTAAATGGCTACATTTTTTAATTGATGATTTCAGATATTATAAAATGGCCACACAGGATTCACATTAAGCAGTGAAAATAGCTAATAAAAACAGATGACTAAGAGTCTGTAACTGAGCCACAGTCACTACTTCTTTGACCACTGGTGGATGTACAAGTTCTTAATCATTACTTTTCCACCCTTGAATAATGACGATTTTAGCACAGACCAAAAGCCAAAATAATAATGTAGATATGCATTGCCAGGTTCAGTGGGGATTAGAGCCACTAAACAAAGACTTCAGAAGAATTACTATTTGAGATAATGTATTTGACATTTTAATTGGTATTTAATATATTGGCAGAATTCTAGACTGTTTTGCTGTGCCACACCTCTCAAAAATGGGAATGCTGTCCCCTTCCATCTCCATGATGGCAAACATAGACCCAGCCTCATTTTATGAAATCTCTCAAAAGGAACTTGGCATGAATAATTTCATGCTAAACTGACTTGCCTGCTCAGCCCCTGAGCCTGAAATGCAATTGTTGCTCCTCAGTTAAAACCTCATGTGTCAGATACAACTGAGAGAGATATTGGCACAGGTTAATGGAAGATAAAGGTGGAATAATCAGGTTTAGTAGTATGAATAAAACACTTTTGGTAAAAGTCCTGCTCTGATAATTTCTGCCTAAAACTGCTGAAAGGGAACCAAAATATCTCTTCCTATTCAGTAAAAGTGCCTTTCAGCTGACTCAAATGCTCCATTTTAGCTTCCCTTTAACCAAAAAGTGGCATTCATTGGGCCACCAGGTGTGTGGACTGAGCTTGCCGTCTCAAACATCTTTCTTGAAGAAGGCTGTTACTTCCTGAGCAATTCCTTGACATCCTTTGGACTATTGTGCATGTAAGAAGCAAGTCAGGCCAAGAAAAGTGCTGAAATCCAGCCTTTTATGGCCACTGATTTAAAAGGTTAAATCTTGATCTCATTTTTTTTGCTGTATGTTTGTGGTATGAATCTGCCCTTTCACAGTCAGCATTTTTAAAGTAAGCAAGTGTTAGTGCCTGATTTCTGCCTTCACTCTTCGCTGCAAGTGCTGAAGTAAAAGGCTGTTACCCATCCTTCCATTCCATCCAGAACACCCCAGCAACAAATATCCACATCCTTATTGTCAAAACCCATAAAAACAGAGCTGGACTTCTTCCAGGTCTAAAGTTTTACATTTGCACCCTGATAACCACAGCTTTGTCAACTCTGAGAGGAGAAAAAAAAAAGCAAAACGGGGATCTCATGATTCCATTGCATGGTCACGCTCTGATCCTTCAAGGAAGCTCCATCCAGCCTCCCCTCCACGGAACTGCAGTGAGGAAATACAGTCCTTGTGTGCTGTTAAATACAAATCAAAGCAGATGTATCCCCTGAGACACCCTGAGCTGGCCTGTGATGCCATCACAGCATCCCCAGGTGCAGTGGCATTTTCAGCAGGGGACAGTCTGGCTGCAGGAAGGGCAGATGAGGACTATTGTTTTTCCATAGCAGAGGTTTCATGCTGTAACTTTTGAATTCCTTTTTGGCCTCAGCCTCAAACCATTCGTGGTGCCCACACAAACAGGAGAATACTGTGCATGGATCAAATCCTAAATTCCACTCAGTAATAGGAGACCTGTGCCACCTACATTGGCTTTGTGACTCACAATCAGCACTTTGCCAGCTCTCCTGGCTCTGACACTGGCTTTCTTTTAAGCATGAAAATAAGGGAAAATATAAGATCTTTTCAGAGTCTCTGCTTTATTGTTTTATTCCTTCTCCCTGACTTCATTCTGAAAATTGAGATAACTCAATTTAACTGCTTGTTCAGGCTCCTTCACTGCATCCTCTAATGCTGTAGTAGAGGGTATTAGTAGACAAGTTTAGATGAATTTTTGGGTCAGTGAAATATATTTTCCAATGAAAGCAGTGAAGGTGAGTGTGTTTTACTTATTTCCTGTCTGACAAAACTCTGGACTGATTCTTCATTAGGATGAGGAAGAAACTACTCAAATGATTTTGTATGGAAACTGCTCTAATATTTTTTATTCTGGTTGCATTTTTGATCATTTTGGTTGCTACTGCTGTATGTTTTGTGTGAATGAGCTGTTTCACTGGTTTTGATGGGACTGTTCTCTGTGTTTTTGTTGCAGGAATTGCTTACCTAGGAGGTGTCTGCAGTGCCAAGAGAAAATGTGTTCTTGCTGAAGACAATGGTCTCAATCTGGCATTCACAATTGCACATGAACTTGGGCACAAGTAAGAACTTGTCCTTCTTTTCCTCCTTTACTTGTGCCACTGCAGGATACTTTTATTTGAAGCCAGACAAGTGCAATTACTAGTGTGGCGTGTTTGTTATGATTTCATAAATGTAGCACATTGATGCATAACTTAATTTTCAGGAGGCTTATGTAAATACCCATTTTAGCACACATAAATCTTTCTAGTTGAACTTACCCTGTTTTCAGCTCTCTCTTCTGATTCTGAGCAGCACAAAGAGGCCTCAATCTTTTAAATACCAGTAATAGAGACAAATTCTGCCTTTCTTTACTGTGTAGAATAGGTCCACAAAACCAACATGAGCCTCAAAATCTTTAAACTTGCCAAGTTTTCTCTGAAGTTCAGGTGTCTGTGTTAAGGGCTTTAATAGTTAAATAGTTTGGTAATGGTTTCATCTCTGCATGTGAAGTAATCTGCTGTGACTGAAATAGTAAACATCAGTACTTTGGAAATGCCCTTAAGCAGAATTATTTGATCAAAAGAAAGAAATCCTGTAATTTGATTTATCAGCTCAATCACACCTAAGACACTTTGAACACACTGGAAAAAGCAGGAAGGATCGTGATAAGTCCTAGTCAGACAGAAATTTGCAGAATGAGATTACTGGGTACTTTCTGCAGGTGACTTTGGAGACTCTTTACAGCTGCCTATAAATACCCCATGGGCTGAAGGAAACAAAATTGACTGGAAGAGTCAGCTGCATCCTCTTAGTGCAGATAATGAGTTAACCAAAGGTCAGCTCCACATTCCCTCTCTCCAGGCCCAGTGTTACTTCACTTACACAATAATACTGATCAGCTTTTTCCCCTTTCCATTGACATCACTCTGGTTGCAGTGTCACAGTTAGACTGTGGAAGGTACAGAAATTAGACAGGGGGCAGGACTGTGCCTGGGGGGTTTTGAAGCGCTCTTTCCTTCAGCCTTTTTGGATGTAAGGTGGGAAATCCCAACTTTGTTCCTGTAGTTAAGAGGTTGTGCCTGAGGTTTTTTTTGTGCCCTTCCTACAGCTCACGTGTCTGGTGTATCTTCCTTTCCTGCAGTAAGAAGTATTTCACAGCTAAGTCAGAGCCAATGGAGCGTGTTCAGGTTCTGGCCAATCTCATTCCTTGACAAATAATTACTTTATGGCAATGTATTTCAAAGTTGCATGGAGGATATTTAGGTTACCTACCAAAAATGAATCTCTTGTTCACCCTCCAGTGACACCAACGGCAGCTGAGCCAAACCGAGGGTGGTTTCGGCAGAAATGAAGGACATTTGGTTTTGGTTTTATTTAGATTGCATGCCAAGATGTTAAACTGAGCCTAAACTTAATAACAAATTAACCTGTGGGTAATGCTAAGGGAAATTCAGCACTCATCTTTGGATGGGCCAAAAGCAAGAGGGAAAAATACTTGAGCTGCAGAAAATCCAGCTGTGTGAAAGAGTGAGACTGGTCTGCCCTAGTGTTTGCCAAGTTTCTCAGCAGAGCTGACAAGCTTCCTTCTAATAATGCCTTGCTGAAAAATATCCCCATCATAAATAGGGGATGTAATGCTTTCAGATACAGCTCTCCATCTGTGCAGAAAATTGCAAACTCCATTTTCTTTTCTGAGGGCAGTTTTGGTGGTAAGAACATAATGTCATTCCTCTTCTGGTTTTCTTTCTTTGCCTTCATCTTGGAAAACTATTTCAAGAGTACTGGAGGGGAGTGGAGTGTCTGTAAGGGCCAGTTTAGGGACCCAAGGCATCTGGGTAATGTGGCTCTGGGAGGGCACTGGAGCCAGGAGTGCTCCAGCTGAAGGTTGTAAAAGCTGTTGGGAGGATTCTGCTGCCACAAGTGTTCAGGGACACGTTCCAGGTTATCTTACTCCACAAAGAGCTGCAATTCTCTGTCACACACTGGGGCAAATCCTTCTGCCCCCTCTGCCTTGCCACCAGCAGCATAATCAACCTCCAGTGTTGCCAAATCAAAACAGAGGAGGGTAAATGCCATATCTGTCACCCCTCAATATGAGCATCAGAATCATCCCTCTGTGCTGTCACCACCAGTGATTAATTTCAGCCTCTGACCAGCTGACTGGTGCCTTTCTGGAGACCAAGAAGAATCTTTTTCATTGACCTTAAAAGGTATCAGGTTCCATTCTTCTGGTGTTGACCTGCAGTAAGATGCTCTGAGCAGTCCTGTTTCAGCCCATCTTGTGCAAATAGAAAAATTCTTCTCAGACTTTACTTAAAAACTCCAAGTTGTTGAGTGAAATGTAAGGAAACCCATTGCAGACATGAACACAAAGAAGCTGATGTGAACTTTAAAAATGAAAACCAAGGAAAACTAGGTGCAAGTTTCTTAATTTAAAACAAAATCCAATCAAAACTTACATCCATATTGGCAAAAATATAAATTTTGGAGAGCCATAATTTTGAGCTTTATTGAAGTCTGATTTCCTTATGAGTGTAGAAAAGCTGAGATTTATTATTCTTTCCTTAAGACTAACAAATGTCTGTGGAGATCACAAGCCCAGTTTGGCATTCACAGATAGTTTCTGATGTGGACTTTGGAAAAAGTGAATGGATTACTAATTGATGTGTCAGATTCCTAATCTGCCACTAATGTCATTTGGACTGACTGCAAAAAACACTATTCCGGACAGCTGCACTGTGAAAACATGGAGACACTATTAAATAGATCAATTAGGATGAAATAGGTCCTATGAAAGTTGAAGGATGAAAGTTCATTTTCAGGTTTAACCTGTGGAGTTGTTGCTTGGTGATGGGGTGAGAGATGTGACATTTGTATTTAAATCAAGTCTGTACTGATAGTTTTGGTCCGTGGACATAAAGGGAACATCCATCTCTATTTAGATACAATTTTTTTAGAAAGGTTCCAAGAGAAGAGTTTTACTGTTACAAAAAGGTACCAGACCGGGAGCTCAGTGAATGTGTATTGAGGCTGCAAATCATAAACTTCTTTCCACACAAGACAGGACCCTCAGCAAGCCTTGTTACTTCAGTCAGCTGGGTCAATAGTGGGTGGCTTTTAAAACAACACACTTGAGTGTAACCTGAGTTTGTTGAATTTTATACAGGGTTTTCTGGGTGGAGTCCTTGAAGACCCAAGATCACAGTGGTCACTGAAGTCTTAAAATGTACAAGTCTGAGGTCTTCATATTATAAATATAATATGAACACTGAAATATAATATGAACACTGAGCATTTCTTGTTCTCACCTTTTCAAACTTGCAGGGCAAGTCCATCAGTAAAAGCTTAAAAATGTCAGGGCTCTGACTGGTGCTTCCCTCCTCCTCTGCCTCCATGAACCAGTGTGAGGCTGATCTGAGATTCACACTCCAAAGACCACCCTGAACAACCGACTTGCAGAAAAATAGTGCCACTTCCCCCCTCCTAGTTCTCTCTTTGCCTACAGCAGTGGCTTTGTTACCATTTTCAAGTCCTTCTCCAAAGAAAAAGTCAAATAAGTTTTTTGAAACAAAAGCTGTGATTCATCCGTATATCCGTTATCCCCCGAACGGAGCGGGGTGGGCTGCAGCCAGTGGTTTTTCAGGACAACAATACCAGCTTTGTTGCCATTCCTGTTTCTTTCAACAGCCTCAGCTTTCCTGTTGTGGGATGGGGGACAGGCTTGGGTGAGGAGGGAAGATTCCCATTCATGAGCCAGCAGAACCTGGCAGTGCCTGGATGGGGAGAGAATAGCCCGAGGTGGTGTGGCTGGGAGCCACAGATGCCCTTAGGAAAGGGGATTAAAATCAACTGACAATAAGCAAGGAGCTGCCTCTTGCCAACAGCCTGAAACCACATGGCCTCAAACTTGAAGCTGAAACAGATGAGGACAAAAATGAGTCCAAAGGTAAAAGCCCATAATGAACAAACCAAACAGCTCAGGGCTTGGAATCAGTCGAGAGAAGGGTTTGGAACCAGCAGGTTTCTCTCCAGCATGCTTATTTGCTTTAGATGTTAGGTATTGATAGCTCTAGCTTGGTTAAAATTACTTCAGGGTGCATAACTATTTGCTGCAAGATGAAGTATGGCCTTTGTGGTGTGTCTCAAGCATTGTGGTGTTGCAGGTAAGGGAAAAACACTCTGGATGTTCCCTTTGTGGCCTGGTATTTGTGCTGATGGACTTGTGAATAACATTGCCCTCCCTGTTCTGGGTGCAGTTCTGTGTCCAGCAGAGAGATTCATGCAGATGTGCCAGAATGTGAGAACATTGCAGGCTGAGGAGGAATGTCCCTGAGCAGATCTCAGAGGTGCAGAATGATGCCCTGTAACAATTTACACCAGCAAAACCCAGTCACTGTGGTGCAGCTACTCAAGATTTCTGAGACCAACCAGGAAATTGTCCCACTTCTCTCTGCCCTGCAATTTATAAAAAATTGGTCATAATGCATTTTAAAAATGAAAAGTTTTGTGTGGAAGCTGAGGACCACCCCAGTAAATGCGACAGATCTGTGCAGACAGGTAATGCTGCAGAGTGCACACTGCTGGCAGAAAATTGTATCTTTTTCTGGATCAGCCTGTCCTGCCATTCCAGTCAGAACAGTGCCAGCAGCATTGGAGCCAGACAGCCAAATCATGGTGATGGGCAAAGGGAGGGGTTCTGGAAGACATGGAGAAATGGAGGGACCTCTGCTAAAAATTCTATAATTTTATCCTGGGTTTGCAACGTTTAGGTGCAGGATGTGGCAGCTGAGAAGCTGTCTTGAAAGAAAAATGCCAACAACCCTCTGTCTTTTTCAGAGCAGCTCAGCACAGTCTAACCCTTGAACTCAGACCTCTACCAGTGGAGGCAGCTGAGTGTAGTTTCTGTCCTGGCTGATTTTAAACATTAACTCTGATGGGTTTTTTGTTAAATTTCTCACCTGAGCTTCTTTTTCTTTTTTGTGTTTCTTTGAGTTAGTCCCACATTTATCAGGCAGGTTCTGCCTGACCTGAAATTCTGTGGAACATTTTTCTTTGTTGCTGTTGCAGAAATGCACCAATG